TGTATGTGTGTGTGTGTGTGTGAGAGAGAGAGAGAGAGAGAGAGAGAGAGAGAGAGTTTGGATTTTTGGGAAAGACTTATTCGCTGGCACTGGAGAGTTTTTTCTTTTGGTTGTTGCTCACAGTGGAGAGTTAGAATGGATATATTTAGCTGTTTTTTTTAGTGAATACTGGATACATAGCAAATAGTGCTCTGGAGAGTTGGAATGGACATATTTAGCAGTTTTTTTTCTTAATACCGAACATTTAGCAAGTAGTTCCTTTCAACACCCCCCTCCCCTCTTTATTTCCCGGGAAATAGGTAAAAAGTAATTGAGGATATTTTATATATGCTAGTAATTTATCTAAATATTCTCCTGAGTGAGTATATTCCTGCTACAAACTGCTCTATTGTAATTGTGCCCCATATGTTATGGGAAGTGGGGATTAGGCCGGGGATAATATATTTAACTATCAAATTGAGGTGCTTATTGGGCATACAGTGCTTTATTGATTTTGTTGGCAAATCATCACTTGGCTACTACTTGTGTTTGCCTTGCATTTTGAAAAACTTTATATTCTTTGTATCTATTTTGTTCACTTACACTTTTATCAGGTAAGTTACCCCTATTCTGTCTGTTGTCTTTCCCAGATCAAAATAACAAAAGGATAGTTCTGGCTCTTCAGAGCGGATTAAAAAGTGAGCTGACATGGGCATTAAATACTCTTACACTGCTCTCATTTAAAGAAAAAGATGAGGTGCGCAAAGATGCAACTCCTCTTGCAAAAATACCCGGATTACTAGATGCTCTTCTTCTAGTGGTATGTCGTGTTTTTCTTTGCAATGTTCAAAATTGTATGCTTGTTTGGAGTCTTTTTGAATTAGAGCGTTCACCTTAGAATGATATCAATAGTAAATTTTTTGGGAATGCGCATAGATTGATGATTGGCGTGATATAGCCCTACCGAAGGAGCTTGTAAAGAAGCAAAGGGTGAGACTGTTGGGTGCTAATTCTGTTGTTACTGGATTTGGGAATGAATATGAAGTACTGAACTCAAATGATGTTGTTCCCCGTCCTAGGTAAGTTTAGCATAATCATGTCTTGAAAGCCTATAGTTTGTAATGAAGAATAAATCGGAATTTGGGATGATCTTTTTGTTGCAGCCTGGGATCTGATTCTTCTGTTATAGAGACACCGGTGCAGAAGAGTACAACAAAGCATCATCCTGCAGCGTGGTGGTTTGATGAAGATGGCCTATTTAATCTGGATGACGAAGGGCGGGCAGAAAAGCAGCAGTGTGCTGTTGCAGCTTCAAATATTATCCGTAATTTCTCTTTCATGCCAGAAAATGAGGTCATAATGGCTCAACATCGGCACTGCTTGGAAACAGTGTTTCAGTGTATCGAAGATTACGTTACAGGTGAGAAGTGTATTTATTGTCATCAAAACCTTGTATCATTGTAATCATCACCGCTCGTTTGTTGTGGACGTTTAACATCTCATCTGTATTAGTTTCTTTTCCTTAAAAATTTAAAATTTTAATTATTCATATTGTTTTAGTATGCTTAGGTGTGTAACATAGAGGATATTTGAAGTAATTTTCAATAATGTGGTTGCTGAGTAGTTCTCTTGGAAGTGATCTTGCTTGCTGTACACGCCTGTAACCACCGAAACGGAACTGAAAATCTTGTCAGGGTTATACTTATAAAAGCACAAGAAGTAAAATGCGGATGGACCTGAAACCATGAGGCATCCTTTTGTGACTTTTTAGGGTTTAGGGTTTAGAGGATATTTCTTTAGACTCTCAGATCATGGATGGTTTTAGTGGACAGGGCTCAAGCCTAAAATGACTGAGGTCTAGCTGAATTGCACAACATTGAAAGTAGAGTATCAAGGTCTTCATGTTGGAAAGATTTAGACCTGTTTGATGCTTTATTGCCCTGGATAATTTTTCTGAGAATTTTTTGAGCCCGAAGATCTAAGGATTGAATATGTGGAACACTGCTTAGAATCTGAGAAGTCAAAGGATGAAGTTGAGTTTAGAAATATTAATCTTAGGGAAGATTTATTCAAATTCTCTACTCTTCCTCACCCCTGTCCCAATGGTTGCCACTCCATTTGATTATGAAACTAGAAGACTTCATCAAAAGTACATAGTGCCTAGGTTAATGGGAAACAAAAGGAAATGACTAGTCATATGCTTTTGACAGAAGCTGAAGTAATTTTATGTGATCTAGGGTTTCCAAAAAACGAGGGCATGTTGCTCAAATATTGATCTATGCTAGATGTAGCCTTTCCACCAGGAAAGATGCCTAATATTTATAATGCCAGACATGAGATACTGGTTGTGTGAATTGATTGATGTCCTTTCTTAATAAGTGCAATATGTTGTGAAACAACTCAGTGTTGTAAAACTCGTGCCTATTCTTAAGGCGACTTTAGGTGCATCCTTTCCTTTTGTCTCAACTAGAGGTGAGGTGACTTTGCTTAGGCATGCCCATTAAGCTCAAGGCGCTAAAGTGCTCGTTTTTTTCCTTTCCCTATAACGATGTACAGAAATACCTTAATGTTCATCTATTGCATAATTATGAGTTTAAATTACCTGAGGACTCATGCTAGTTAATCATTTTCTCTGACTATCTCTCCTCCTTATGTTCATCTATCACATGCAGCAAGGTGTGTCTGCTACCTCCTCCTTTTGTTGCGTATTATTGTCACTTTTTTTTTTAGGATTGGTGGACTTTAGCCCTGAGAAATTTTTTTTTTGTTGCTTTTTCTCACTTTCTTAGCACTCTTTACTTTCGTGTTATGAGCTAGTAAGTAATGGTTTATACGTTAGTTTCTCTGCGCTATAACTTCATTGGGAAATATATTCTGATTGTTTTGGATGCTGTATGATTTTTGGATACTTATTTGATACTTGTAATTTTTATGCGTTGCTTGAAAAGTTTGCCAATGATAAAATATTTGCTTTTTATTTGTAATGTTTGTCTCGCTTCGATGAAGCTCTCACATTTCGCCGGGCCCGAGAGACACTTAGCAACTCTGTTCGATTTGGCCCTTAAATAACCTGGAATTGCCAATACTTAACCCTTTGTTGCTTGGTGATGTTATTGGCTTCTAATTTGCAATGTCTGCCTTGCATCATCTTGCCTTTGGCCTAAGCCCCAAGAGATCCTTAGTGTCTCGGTTCGCTTTGCGCCTTCAGTAACATTGAAACAGCTGGTACTCAACTTTTGGTGCCTAGTGACTTTATTTCAGAGTGTCTTTTGTCTCTACCTCCTGGATTAATCCATTTGGCTATTTCACCATTATTGAACCTATGATTTTATCTGTTCAAAAAAAAAGAAAAACCTATGATTCCAAAGATTTGGTGAAGAAATAGGAAAGTTTTAATAAGTTTGTCACTTCTAGTGATTCTCTATGGAGACACATCTTTAATGAATATTTTATTTAACCTTGCTGGTGCTGCGTCATGTTTTTCACAAAGAGTGATCTAATAAAATGCTTATCTATTCTGCCGCAAACATGCATATTTATGTTTCCCTTTTACACTCTATGTTAAAAGATTCGGAAAATTGAGTTTCTATCTTCTCTGAATGACCACCAGAGCGTTCTTATCTAAACATTCCTTGGTAATGGAAAGCTTCTCTTGAACTTGTCATACTTAGCAATGGAAAGCCTACTTGTATATATAACTTTTCTTTTTTATTGCCCTACGTTCTTTAGAAAAGGACTCCATTGCAATTCTCCCTTTGGGAATGAACCTCTTAGACCAATTAAGGAGAAGCCTTCTCCGCCTCCCCCCACCCTCTACCAAAACCAAACACCCCTTTTCTTTCTTTTTGTTCTTATGTTTCTGCTTCTCATCTTCCCTTTGTGGATACTGGTTTGTGGCTAGATATGGGTGGTTGCCTCTTCTCAAGCTTCTAAATAATTTTGATGTGATCTCCATTGCTTTTTATGAGAATCCTAGATAATTTTGCAACTCACTTACTACCAATGGACATGGACAAGTGACATAAAATATGTTGGGATTTACACCATCGTGCTGCTTTTTTTTTTTCATGTTACCAGCACACTGTCATAGGGCTGCAATATAGATAATTTTAATGCTTTGGTTATTTTAGGCCTATCAATGCTGTAGGAGTTGTATCTAACTTTCTTACTATGGGATTTGAATATGTTTTTTAAAATGTAAGATTTTAATAATTTTGTTTCAAAGAACTGTAGAATATAATATTCCTTTGTTACTGATCTACGTATTGCCCAAGAATCTTTCTTTAGTAATGTCACTGTCAGCAGTGCTTCTTATAGTTTTCAATGATAACAGAGGATGAGGAACTTGTTACAAATGCTGTTGAGACGGTTGTGAATTTGGCCCCATTGCTTGATCTTCGAATCTTTAGCTCATCCAAACCTTCGTACATCAATATAACGTAAGAGATCTGTCTTGTTATTTTACTTCACCACATGCTACATGATTTCTAAATATAAGAACTGTTGTACCTAGTGCATTGGCTTCCTTTCCAGGTCTAGGAGGGGTAAATGGTAGGCAATATTATTCACATTGTATAGAGGCTAATTTGTGCACATGCTGTCGCCCTAGGTCCAACCTCTATCATTATTTCTAAATTCATTCTTAAATTGGTTTTTCTTCTGATTTCACCAAAACAGAGAGAAGCGTGCTGTCCAAGCCATCATGGGGATACTGGGATCTGCTGTCAAAGCCTGGCATTGTGCAGCTGCCGAATTACTGGGGCGCTTGATAATAAATCCTGATAATGAACCTTTTATTCTTCCTTTTGCTCCGCAGGTTAATGTTGTTCCACATATGGTCTCTTTTTAAAAATATGTCCTCCTTTATATTATTTGTATGGACTAAAGATTGTAAGAATCGTTTGGAGTCTGCAGATGTACAAGCGTTTAGTTGATCTTTTGAGTCTTACAGCTACTGATGCACAAGCAGCTGCTGTTGGTGCACTTTATAACCTTGCAGAAATTAATATGGACTGTCGATTGAAGCTTGCCAATGAGCGATGGTGAGATACCCCCAACCCAACCCACCAATATTTGTATTCAGATATAGACATAAACATTAAGATTTTCACATGATAAGTGTTGCTGAACAAACTATTTTTACACTTCAGGGCAGTTGATCGACTGTTGAAAGTGATTAAGGCACCACATCCGGTGCCAGAAATTTGCAGAAAGGCGGCAATGATATTGGAGAACCTTGTCTCTGAGCCACAGAACAGGTCCCAGCTGCTAGCTTATGAGAATGCATTTGCAGAGATACTTTTCTCAGATGGAAGATATTCTGATACATTTGCCAGGATACTATACGAACTGACATCTCGACCCAGCAATAAAGTGGCGACAGCTCGCGGTATTTGGGGCATGTAAGTGCAAACCTGCTTTTATTTTGATTTTTTTGGATTTGTGTCTTAATAGCATTCAAGAAAATTGGTAGCTGATTCTCCTAATGTGTAAGTGAACATATTTGCTAACTCGTATATGTACCAGTCATATTTGCAAGCAATATTCCCTTTTATGTTAGCTGTGTGCATTCTGGGCACAGATGGGGGCACTGATATGGATATACTCTTTTAACTAATGATGGATATTGTTTGCAAAATTCCAATTTTTTTTTTTTTTTTTTTTCCGGTCTCGTTACTCATGGCTTCAATGTGCTTTTCTTTTCCTTCAGTTTTTTTGTGTCCCATGGATAATAGTTTATATGATTTTTGCCTTCTTGTTTTGTGATGTTATATCATGAGGTATAGGATTATTTAAAATTTCTGTCACTGAAGTAAGCGGCGATTATCAAATTGGCACCTAAAGTGTCAATTTTGGCAATTATGTCCCCTATTGTTTGACAATTCCTATTGTTTAAATAGATAAATAAGAAAACAAACAATAAATTACATAATTCTACCAATTAATCATTTACATCTCACTCATACTTTTCACACAATAATTTCATTTGATTTCTATTGCAAATTACTTACGACCGCTTCAATATTTTATGGTGCAACATTAACATATATAACCCCAATTGAAATTGATAACTACTGCTAAAGAACCCCTAGTTAAGGCTTTGGGCACATGAACAGGATAGTCATCAGTCTCATCCATCAAAGGATTCTTCTCCTTAGCTGGATCAACGATCTGCAGCGCTCGCCAAACAACACTATTACATTTGAAACGTGACCCGAACGAAATCTGCCATATGCAGTCACCCTCCTCTTAGCCTCAGAATAGGCCAGCTCATACCACCATGAACTACTAGAAGTATTACCAAACCTGTAGAGAGTCATTCTTGAAGGCTCCATGTGCCATTCAGTTAGGTTGAGGTTCTTTTCTATCTCGTTGAGCACTGCTCTTCCTCCAGGATGGATGCAAAATGCTCGAAAGTCAACTTGAAATCTGGAATATATTGCGTACATGGCATGGGGTGACCAAATAATGGTATACAAGCTTCACATATTTGAGTCTCACGGAGAGATGATAGTCTGGAAGCTAATTGGTTATGTTCTCAGGTGAAACTTCAACTGAAACAGGCTTAGTTGCAGGGTTAGGCTTCTTGTCATCCGCCATTGTTGGTTACAAATCTGAATGAAATCCTTTGATAATCCTAAACAGGACCCGTCATTCCGATACGAAAAAGTTAAAAAAGTATAGGATTTTAGTCTAATAACTTCTGTTCATTACCGGATTGATTTGGTAGTCCCGTTTAATAACTAGGTCAATATAAACCAAGCTATAAACAATACAGATCTGATTATGTGTGATTATATACAAGACGAACTTGATTATATGCTAACATCGACATAAATTGTATAAATTTTGCCACAAAACAGAAACCAGACATGATGTGATCTTTTATTATAAACCATAGTCTGACTATTGATTGTAAGGAGTTGCCTTCAATACCGTCTTTTTACTCTTTGTTATGGTATTGAAAAGTAAAGGCTTTATTTGCTTGTCATCTGTCCATAAAAAAAACACTGAAAAACTCAATCAGTTTCATCACCGGTATATAATGATTTTTTGGGGCTAACGAACCACTGTTTTAGAAAAAATTTGTAACTTTTGGTTAAGCTAACCAACTTTTGGGTGGTAAGTTATCACCTTTTGGGTTAGATTAATATTTTTTGGGAGTAAGATTACTATTTTGTGGGGTTAAGTTACTATTTTTTTGGGGTAAAGTTATTATTTTTAGGGGTAAAAAGAAGCAATGTTTTAGGATAACTTACATTTTTTGGATAATTTCACCATTTTTTTGGTCATGACTACCTTTTGGGCTAGATTACCATTTTTTAGGAAAAAGATTACCACTTTGTAGGGCTAAATTACTACTTTTTAGGTCAACTTATCTCTTTTTAGGATAAGATTATTATTTTTTGGGAATGCTTTGTCACATTTTGGGGGTAAAATGCCTGGGTAAGTTCACCACCTTTTTGGGTAAGTTACTACCTTTGGGGCAAACGTTATACTTTTTTGGGGTAAATTGTCACGCTTTGTTGATGTACACTTTTCCAGTACATAACCGATCATGACAAAGCATGATTGATCATGATTTGACAATTTTATCTTTAAAATAGGATTGTTGTGTTAATTTAGATCTTAAAATATCAATTTTGTTAATTTTATCTTTAAAGTATTTAATTAAAATCACATTAACACATTTAATCTATCAAATTAACATTCAAATTTAACTAATTAACATTAAATTCAATCCAATTAATATCTAATTCATCAAATTAATACCAAATTAACATTCAATTCATCAAATTAACATCTAAATTAACATTTAATTCATCAAATTAACATTCAAAATCATCTAGTAAATGTTCAATTTATCAAATCAAATACTTTTTCTTGAATAAAATAACATATTACTAGATCTATTTCTGTATCGATTATGATATATATAATAACTCGGACATCTATTTGAAGTGCATATCTCATTTTTGCACAACAAGGTTATGAAAATCCACGATAAGCGACTGGGAGTATTGTATGTGCAAATTGTCATTTACCTAATAAACCCGTCGATATTGAGGTTCCACGAGCAATACTTCATGATACTGTATTTGAAGTAGACATTTTGCTTTCATTTTCAATTGGACGATTCATTAATCCAACTAGTGGACAGTTATAAATGTATCAATTTTTTTGACTTCCATCGGAGATTAGGAATAGATGAATTTTTTATCAGGGCCATTTGACTAACGGGATTCATTATTACTTTAGCTACTTTAGCGGCTTGGCCAANAATATCTAATTCATCAAATTAATACCAAATTAACATTCAATTCATCAAATTAACATCCAAATTAACATTTAATTCATCAAATTAACATCCAAAATCATCTAGTAAATGTTCAATTTATCAAATCAAATACTTTTTCTTGGATAAAATAACATATTACTAGATCTATTTCTATATCGATTATGATATATATAATAATTCGGACATCTATTTGAAGTGCATATCTCATTTTTGCACAACAAGGTTATGAAAATCCATGATAAGCGACTGAGAGTATTGTATGTGCAAATTGTCATTTACCTAATAAACCCGTCGATATTGAGGTTCCACGAGCAATACTTCATGATACTGTATTTGAAGTAGACATTTTGCTTTCATTTTCAATTGGACGATTCATTAATCCAACTAGTGGACGGTTATAAATGTATCAATTTTTTTGACTTCCATCGGAGATTAGGAATAGATGGATTTTTTATCAGGGCCATTTGACTAACGGGATTCATTATTACTTTAGCTACTTTAGCGGCTTGGCCAGGTACTTGAGATTATCGATTATTTTTTTAAAAAAATACACAAGAAACACACAGAATGATCGGAAAAATATATTGAATTTGAGTAATCTACTATTCAAAATTCTTACTGATATTTGTTTTTTGAAAAATAATTATATTGTGGTATCCAAATTTAACTTCAATTAATAGATTTTTTTTTATTACTCAAAGTTTAAATGCAAAAACTGAATAAGTAGTTTTACATCACAAATATGAGACAAATAATTTTTATATGAATATATATTAATATTTTCTCATTCACTTTTTTTTTCAAATCATTCTTTTGCCGATTGTTGTTAGAAACATAGGAGAGAACTCTTCCACTATTTAAAATTTCATATATATAGACATCTTTATAGTCCAAACTAAATTGGATTTAAAATGATTGCGAAAATTCTTTCTTTTGAGCTTATATTGACAATTTACATGGCCGAATGTGGAGGGTCTCACGACTCACAACAAAGGCCTCTCCTATTGGTGTATAAATAGAAATAAAAATTAATCATAATATTTATTTAATCATATCTATATTATTATTATATTTTATTACAATGTGGTCTCACTAAATATTTTTGCCTAAACTCCCATATTTGTTGGTCGCCCCTGATTTAAAGGACATATGCACAGCCCATCAATAAAGGCCCCTGATTTAAAGGACTTATGCACAGCCCATCGATAAAGGCCCCTGATTTAAAGGACATATGCACAGCCCATCAATAAAGGCCCCTGATTTAAAGGACATAAGCACGGCCCATCTATAAAGGCCCCTGATTTAAAGAACATACGCACAGCCTCTCAACAACCTATTTTGCAAGTTTGTTATTACGGGAAGTTCCTGCAGAGGATCGGATTAATGGCGTATATAATACTTAAATTTTCGATGGAGATGTTACATAATTGGTTCTTATCCATGTTTATGAATTTCAAAACGTTGTTTTGTATCTTGAAAGATATTTTGATTCTCAATTTATACTCTCAAACATTAAAAATATTAATTTATACCCTTAATATTATAAATTGATAACAATGTCGATCTGACCTAGACTGCCGTTTATGTTTTCGTTATAAATTGAAGCACCTAACGTGCAAGTGTTTCGGGCATGAGAATGAGGTATGTCCATTGTTGTAGCTCTTCGTTTGCGAACAATTTGATACCGTTTTATGTATTAAAATTAGAATTTTATTAATCAGATAGAAACTAATCGTATTACGTGCAATTCATATGAGGCTCCAATAATATGTGAATTTATAAATAAGCCTATTCCTAAAGTATTTGCAACTCATGAGTTTTAACGAAAAATTGAAGGCAGTCTAAGCAAAGTCCACATTGATACCAAAATGTCTTTTGAGATACACAATAAGATTAACCATATTTCTAAAGAAGTATTTATTAAAAAAAAAAATACTTTATAAGAAAATCACTTTCATCAAATGACTGTTATTGATGTTTGAAAAAAGAATTTAATGAAAAAATATGTTATACTTTTTCTTTTTTCTTTTTATTTGGATAACTAATATATTGGCAAATAAATACACGCTGTGATGGTGATTATGGTGGTGGCCGGTGATAGCACGGTGGTGGCGGTGTGGTGGCTACGTCGATAATATCATAATAGCAATGGGATGGCTACCAAAGATAAGTCTTCCTCTTGGGATAACCACCACAGATTTACTCCAAAAATTGTCCAACACAACCCTTATCTTGTAAGAGAGAGCATCTTTTTTAATATATTTTCTTTTGTTTTTGGTTAGATCATTTACCGTGAATTAAATTGTTTGGTAGACGTATTATGA